GCTTTTGTATTGACTCCGGGCTCCTGAATGAAGCTGTCATGTGTGTCTGTGGTTGGCTAGCAGGCTGTCCGGCTGCAAGCTGTGCCTTCCTTTGTTGTTTAGGCCTCATTGAGCTGAGGGAAGAGGCTCATTTCAGGGTGATTTACCACCACCCAAACACCAGCTGTCTGTTGTACTCCTGCTTGCCTCCACCTTGGATTCAGCTTCCCCCTTCTCCTCTCCCACTCTACAGTGTCCCTCTGTGGACACTTGGGCTTGATTTCTTCAAGACTTGTGTGTCACCCCTGCAGAACAGCTTAAAAACCATAAATACTGATTATACTGTTCACTCAATGTTTTTTTAAGCTCCCCCCGGCCCTCCTCCCCGCCCCCCCCCCCCCTTTATTTTTTATTCCCAGGGTTCACCATTGTGGTGCTATACAATTTCTTTTCTTGGTCAAAGAATGAACTGTGTCTGTAGGAAAGAAATACATGATAAAACCATCATGTTCTCCCATGCTTTTTACTTAGTGGTCTAAAATAGTGGAAAATGGTAGTGGTTTCAATTAAAAGTAGCTGTGAGTCTCAGCAGCATGGCAACAGGTTGAATTGTTTACCTTTCTTCTGCAGGATATCAGGCAAGATGGTTGCAGAGGTGCTTCCCTGTGCTGGAAATGTTGGGATATTTGAAAAGATGGAGAAAGAATCAGAGAAGGACAGCATTGCTTACCTGCATGCTCATTCCTTAGCAGGGTATTTCGAAACTGGGAAGATGGGGAGAGCATGAGACATTTGAAAGCCAAGGTCAGATCTGGGACTTTCCAAGGAGAAATGGAATCTGTCCCCAGGTCTACGTCCCAACTTGAGTACGCATCAGGAAAGCAAGAAGCAAAATAGTATGTGTGCTTGACCCTGTCTGATGAAGGTGCAGAGTACCTGGACTTTCAAAGGAGGTGCTCTGCAGCTGCTGGCACTGTCCCACTTTTGGCAGTGTTCACAGCTTTGTTGCTCAGAGGTCTTTGGAAGTGTGAGGGAAAGACTGTGCCAGTGCCTTGGGGGTGAGGGCATTGCCAGTATTTTCAGTGGCTGCTGCTCAAACATGAGGAATGCTGATGAGAGTTGAATAGATTAATGCCTAGAAAGACGTGGTAGTGGCAGCACAGTGAGTGGCACGGAGTTGCTGATCCAGGCCACCCATTGTGCTGCTGTCTCTGGCCACAGATTTGGAAGAGCAGAAGGAAGACCTTAACACAGCTTGTGTTAGACTGGGGTGTGTAAAAACCTGCTTTGAGTGAGTGCCACCCCCTCAGAAAGGTCAACTTTGGATGTTTGTGCAATAGGGTGAGGAGCCCATGAGCTCCTGAATGAAATAGTGCTCATCATCTGTGAGCAACAGAATGGCTGCATGAAGCTCGGTGACCAAATTTTTCTTCTCATTTATTTCCCCCCCCTCCCTGCTTCAATGACACTCTAGAATCCTCCCATGAATCCCAGCCAGCTCTCCCCTAGCACAGAGCCTGGCGGCTCAGCAGAGGCCTGCCAATGCCATGTGCGTCATGTCTGACTCTTCTAAATGGGGCTGGCAGCTCTGAGCATGGCAGTGATGCTGGTGTTTGCCACAGCCTTGGGGACAGCCCCGGCAGCAGGGATTTGTGCTCCCTGGATCGGCTGGAGCGAAGGTAGTTGTGACTGGCCCTCATTTGAATTCTGGGTGACATGGTTCAGTGTTTCTTGACCACAGGTTTCTAAAACTAGCGACCAGTCGCCCATGAAGCTGAGATAATAAATTCTGTTATAATAATAATTATTTTTCTCTCTCTTTTTTTTTCTTTCTTTTTTTTTTTTTCTGCAAACTTTGGCTAACTGCCAGAGCTCACAGTGTGTTGAAGTTGGTGAACCTGGTGGGACTCACCAAGTGACAGGGATATAACAAGTAGAATCACGAGACACTTTTGCTTTCCTCTTCTGTGCTCACTACGGAACCTTCTTGCTCCTTGCCTTGGGAAGGGGAAATCTGGAGATGTGTGGGAGCCAGCAGAAGCCAAAGCAAGCTCCTCCACTGGAAATGATTGCGCCTACCTGCTTCTAAGCCACAGCATCACACCAAAGGCAAGAAGCACAGGAACACTTAATAGTAATACATCTGTCAGTTTCCAAGATCACAGTGCTCCTCCCCAGATCTGTTATTAAAAGGCTATGAAACATGGAATGAGGTTTTGTAAATTAAGAGCGAATGTCTGTAGCACCATCAAGTCAAAGCTCTTTTCCTTCCTCTGCAAACATCAGGAGCGCAGGACTGTCCTGCTGGATGGAGCAGAGAGGGGTAGATTAGGAGGCAACAACCATGGCAGGATAGACACGGTGAGGTGTTTTAATTTCTTAACAAAATCCTTGGGCACTACAAACTGTAAACTAACACAGAAATAAACAAACAAAAACTTGCTGACCCTTAGCACCCTGGAGGGTTCTGTTTCAGATCGCTGAATAAAAGCTGAAGTTGCATATGCATGTTTAATATAACACAAGGCACGTGCTGCGGCAAGCATGCTTTCTTCTAATCTGGTTCCAGACAGAAGCATCCAAACAGAAGCCCCTTTCCCTATCCCCACTGAACTGCCTGGTGTATGTGAGGAAACCCCTGAATGACAAGGCCTCCATCTGCTCTTAAACAGAGTTGCGACTGGCTGCAAATGTTGTCCATATGCTTTTTTTTTTTTTTTCCTCCTTTGCCTTTCAACTTGGCTGTCTAATGTTAGATACCTATTCCCAAATTAAATATCAGTTCATAAAAAAGCTTTCCTAAAAAGGTGAAGGCATTAGCTAATTCAGGTGATGCCCATTAAGAAAGGTACATCAGCAGTTGGAAATGGAAGGAGATAAGGTTATTCAAGCAGCATATTGTTTCTGTTTACTTTTTAAAAGGAATGGAATAGCCTTTGCATTCTTGCATTATCAAGGAAAAAAATGCTATCAAGTTTTGGGTTAATATCTTCCTTCTGTTCTTGACTGTCCACGTGATTATGGTTTGCCATCATTTCTGTGATATTTCCAGCCTTACAGAAGAACACTGATGTAGCTTGCTATGAGGTTGTTTGTCTGGGACTGCATCCTATAAGCCAGAGAAAGATGTAAAAATTCAACTTTTTCCTTGGTTTTTGGTGTTCAAATGCGGAGCTTCTTATCTTGTGGTAATGGCTTTCTGTGTGCACTGAAATAAAGTGACCAACCACAAGTGATGTGTGAATCCAGTTGCCTAAACACAGGTGTGTTACTGCTATAGGCACCCTGAGATGTCTTGCCCATCTGTTAGAAATATGGGCTCTCCATGAGGCCCTCTTGTATCTATAACTTGCCTTATGTACTTTTGGTATCTAGAAGGTCGCCTTTGCTTAGGAATATGATCATCTCTTTGTGCTCTCATTTCTTTGTGCTCTCTTTTCCAACATAATAGCTTAATGCAATTACTTTACTTTTTAGTTTTATCATTTCTTTCTGGGGAATACTTTTTGTAGATATTACAGATTGAATTACTGAAGTTGTAGGTATGACCTTTACCGTGCCCCCTGTTTCAGTGTCTCTTTTGCAGAGAGAAGCTGGAAAAATAATTTTTGCACATTATTGGGTCTTTCTGAGACTGGTGAGATGCTGGGGTCACCAAGAGAGACACCTGGCCACTTGCAAGCTCTTCCAAGGTGACCTGAAGTTTATTGGCCTGTTTGTAATTCCTGCCACCAAGGGTCAGCTCTCTGCTGTGCCCAGACAGTGAGCGATGGCTGCAATTCCTTTTAATCATTCCCTTTCTCTTCCTCATCATTTAGTTTAGAGCACTTCCACTTGGTTAAACTCATCAACTGCTTTAATGTTGTGGTATTCTTTTCAAACAAATACATCCAGATGAAATCTTATGATTCTCCATGGCTACATATGAGAAGATTTTTTCACCCTCTTGCTTAGCTGATGCTGAGAGTATTTGTTTTCCAGATGCAGACAGTGAAAGTTTTTGGAAAGAAAAAGAAAAAAAAAATAGGCCAAGTGTGAGTCTATGGGAAAGTATATAAATATTATGTGTTCATGGGATCTCAATTGTGTTTTTGTTTGAACTTAATCAGCATTGTGACCAAATCTAGAATACCAACCCCTTTCTGCCATGGGGATTTGTGAAGATTTGGAGATTATCATGTTCTGATAAAAGAAAAAAAACTTTGATAAAGAACAAAAGTGATTCAAATTATCCCTAGAAAAAAACTAGGTTAACATGAGAATTCTGTTGCTCAGTCAACCTAAGGGGTTGTCAATCAAAAGGAGTTGGCTGAACTCAGCTTAAAACTGCTATGTAGGCAAATGAAAGGTGAGGAAATTGTTCCTCTGGAAATCTCCATTGGACCCAGCATACTATTTCTGTGCTGTGCTATTGCTATTCAGTATTTATGCTAGTGGACTGTGGTGTTGGGTGAGGTTGGTCTGTTGAAGTCCTGGCAAGGATTTGGTATTAGTTATATGGACCAGCTGTCTGAATGTGGGTAAGTTATGCCTGTAGGCCTGTATTTTGTGGAATCTAGTTATGCTAAATTCAAATTAGTACCAATTTGTTAATGGTGAATGTGAGTGCTGACATAGGATCTGTACCTCAAGTCACTCCTGGCAATTGTGCTTCATGAGGGCGATGGATTTGTTCCTACCCATGTATGTGTATGAAAATCTCCACGTTGAAATAGCACTGGGTTGAAATAACCTGTTCTTTTTCACTTTGGTTTGTTCATATTCCTGCTGTTATTTTTCCAAACACTGTGTTTTCCTTGTACCCCTGTGTGACTTCACTGATGAGGTAATGATGGTCCCTGGAGAAGTCTCCTTAGTAGCTTGGAAGCTATTTCTTTATGGAAGAGTGTCTCAAAGCAATGAAAAACGAGTCCACAGGTTTCCCTAATACCTTCTCTTTCCCCATCTCTTTTCTTAAATACAAATAACTCAATCTTTGATTTCAGGTTGTGATGGTATTTTTCTTGCCTTTTCTCTTGTAGGGAAAAGTCATTGGAGATGCAAAACTGCTCATGAGCTGTGGTTGCAGAAAAGGGAAAAATGCTCAAATGAAAGACTCAGATCAGGTCAGTCGATATGTACTTTTACTGGAGAAGAAATAAGAGAATGTGTTAATCTTCGATTGATTTAAACTGTGCAGCTACATAGCAGGGTTCCTGGACACAAATAGAATATTTTTCATGGCCAACAGTGATACCACATTAATGTTTTTGCTTTTGTTATTTGTAGAAAACACTTTCAAGCAAGATTAGGGATTTATTGCACTGAGAGTGGGAATACCCCAGCCTGACTTACTCCCATCTGGCTTATTTACTCATGAATTCTGGTTTTTCTTAATAATCCACTCCAGGCAGTGTTTTCTTAAAGACTATTACTCTTCCTTGTTGGCTAAATGCACGCAACCTTTACTCTCTTAACGGTAGCTGCCTGGATATGCAGTCATTAAAAAGAAATGTGCTATTTTCCTCATGATTTTATTCTAAAGTGACACCAGTAGAACATTCCTTATTGAGATTAGACGTGATAAACTTGTAAAAACTTGTTCACGGACTGAAAACTGGTGGCCAGGTTTTAATATCCATTACTCAGATTGAATGGACTCTTATTCTAAAATTGGTCGAATTGACTTCAGTGGGACTACTTGTAGGATCCAGCAAATGCAGAGAAGGGGGAATGTGCTCTGAATGACAGAAGATAGTTTATTCCTACCATTTTGCACTTAATCTGACCAGCTGAGTTTGTCCCTGCAAAAATTTTTGGTTGATGTTGCCTTCTGTCCTTCTAACTAGCAGTGTCTGAATCCAGTGATCATTTGTTCCAAAGATGAAGTGGAATCTGGCTTGAGTAGAAGTGTTTTAATAGATAGTGGGTTATCCAATATTCACTGCAGTAGAGAGAAGCCATTGATCTGAAATATGAAACAACTGGCTGATTGCTGCGTAGTGCAGCTTGTGAACACCTGTGTTCAGCTACACATCTGAAGCAGATTCAGTGTGCAGAAAAAGTCTGGGAGCTTCAGATGAATTGTCTTTAGCAGAGGGATTGAGTTCTTAAGAGGAAAATAATTTCATTTTCAACATGCATGTTCATCAACCTAATTAATAACAATATTGTGGAGCTTTCCAGAGAAGATCTGAGAACAGATCTGTCTGTGTGCTGTGGTGGGCTGTGTTGGGAGGTACACTGTTGTTCTCACAAGTGCTTTGTAGGATTGAGTCTTTTTTTTTTTTTTTTTTTTTTTTTTTTTATAATTTTTTTTAATAATAATATTGTTAAATAACAAAATCATAGCTCTGCACTATACTATCATTTTGTGATTGATACGAGGATTTATACGACTTCTTGAAGAATAACTCCCATTCTCACAAATACAAGCTTAATTTTCTCATGTTGAAGTTCTATCACATCAAGAGAAAAATATAATTGAAACACTTCAGTGAATTTTACTCTTGTATTTTGATATACAAAAGTAGCTCTTGATTTACCACAAGGATGGAGCAGAGTCAAACCTCTTGCAGTGGAAATTAAAAATGGAGAGGGAACATCTTGATTGCAGAGGAGCAATTTACAAAACATCATTTCTAACAAACTCTATGTTGGACGTAAAATACGTTAATCACAATACTTAAAATGTAGAGAGTGCAATAGCTTTTGGTAGGAAACAAACAATCCAGACAGTTAAATGCTTTATGGGACAGCAACAAATTAGTCCTTATCCCTGGTTAGTTTCTGAAGTCTAATTTTTGATGTCTAGTACCGTTTTTAATTGTTCTGGGGGTTTTTTTTTTTTTTTTCTTTTTCTTTTTTTTTTTTTTTGGTCTTTCTTTGCATTTCCTATTAATGCCATCATAACTCTGTGAAAATGCAATTTTTTTCATCTGCTTGAGTGTAAGCAAAAATAGTTATATGGTTTTAATATCATGACCCGTATAGAGGTTTGGGACAAGCCACCTATATTCTGG